ATATCTTGCACTTGCCTCTCAATCTCTAGTTTCTGAAAATAGGGGTAACGATAGGGCCTTACATTTGTGGGTGCAGTTCTGGGCAGCAATGGAATGCAATGATCATGGGCACGCTTCGGTGGTAGTTCCTTAGGTTCTTAGAAGATCACTGAGAACTTCTGAAGTAGCTGTTGTAGTTGTGTGCGGCCTTCTTCGGATCTGCTTCCTTGGGCTAGAATGGGGCTATTCCCGTGGGAGTCTATCTGCATTAAAACGATGTCGGCTGGGTCTGCTGCCTGTTTCCTTAGGGAGGCGAGACTAATAGGGCCTAGACCCTTGGACAGCTGCCCTTGAATATGCACCTGTGAGCTGCCCACTTGAAAATCCACGGTGAGACGGGCCTAATCACATATCACTGGCCCTAGTTGCCTTAACCATTGGACTCCAAGAACTACATCTGCTCCACTGATTTCCAGGGGGTGCAAATCTACCTCGAACTCATGTCCTTGTATCTTCATCTTTAATTCTATGCACGTACTGTCGCACACCAGGTTGCTCCCATTAGCTACGTGCACCCGGAAGGCTGTACATGGTTGGACCGGAATCCCTAGTTGTCTGACCAATGTTTGGGTAATGAAATTGAGGGTGCTGCCACTGTCTATCAGAACTGACACATGGCACCCTTCTACCAGTCCGGTTACTCTCATAGTTTGAGAAGAAGCAAGACCGGTCAAGGCTTGTAGGGATACTTCCGGGTATTCCTTTGTTTATTGCCCTCATTCTTGGTTGTCCATTGGCTCTTCAATGTCTGTTGATTGCTCGACATATTCGATTTCAGGTTGAAGGAAGAAAACTTGAGGGATCTTACAGCGATGGCCCGACCTGAATTTGTCTCCACATGCATAACAAAAGCCCTTTTCCCGTCGGGCTTGCATATCAGCCCAGGTTAACCTCTTGGCTGAGCCGGGGCCTGAACCAGAGTTGGCGTCCTTGCCTGTGATTCCTACTTCTGATCTGGGCTCTGGTTTACCCAAGATGCTTGGTTCTGGGTTTGGTATACCTGGTCTGATCGCAGCTCCCAGAGGTCGATTAATCCTTCTTGCCCGATTCAGTTTGTCTTCATGTAGTCGAGCTAATGCTGCTGCTTCAAGAACGGTGGTGGGCTGCATGGCTTTTACCTCTAGCCGCAATTCTTCCATGAGTCCACCAACAAAACTGTCGACAAGCGCATTTTCTGGCCAGCCTTGCACGCGCATAGCTAATCTTTTGAACGTCATCTGATAATCTTGGACAGAGCCGGTCTGTCGTAGCTTAGCGAGGCTTTCATCATAGTTCTCAAAAGCTGAGACTCCAAATCGCATGGTTAAGGCGTCAGTGGAGTCTGCCCATGTGGCTCTTGGGTGCCGTCGCCGATACCACTGGTACCAGACGATCGCCTCTCCTTCCAGGTGTGCAGAAGCTAATGGAACACGATCAGGTCCTTGTGTGTCGTGGTAATCAAAGTATCTTTCTGTTCGCAGAACCCAGGATGTGGGATCTCCCTCTGCGAAGATGGGAAACTCGATTCTTGCTGTTCTTGATCCGCTTCGATGACTGGTTTCACTGCACTCTTCCTGATTCGGCGCAAGGTGGTGCCTGTGCCAGTCGTTCAAGCAAGGATGCAAAGCTTTCTTTGATTTCTTTGACGTCAGCCGATATTTTTTGCATTTCTCCTTCCATGTTGTCCACTCTGTTCTCCATTGCGGATGACCTTGTGCTTGGCATCTTGGCTCTGATACCAACTTGTTAGGAACTGCCTAACTTAGGGACTCTTTCGAGGGAGCCTGCCTCCTGAATGAGAGAGAGAGAGTGGTTGGCTGTTAGTTATTTAGTTTGTTCTAGTGGTTGGCTGTTAGTTTGTTCTAGTGGTTTGCTGTTAGTTACATTCTTTAAAGGCTAGCGTGGCCTTTTCTTGTACACTTGTATTCCCTTTATTTGTGTCTCAACATAAAGAAGGTTATTAACTTTATATGATAAAATTCAAGATAGAAAGTAAAGAGAGAGAGAGAGTAGAAGAAAAAGAAACCTCTCTATACTTCAACAGTAAAACATTAAAACAAAGTATAAGTGATATATAGTATATAATAGGATGTATTAACACACATATTTATAAGACCCAACAATATAAATGATATTATAATAAGGTGCCTGCCATGTTTGGGAATTGGGAGTGCTTAAAAATAATTGCTTATTTGGGCCGGAACCACACTACTAAGCATTTTTTGATGTTTGAGAATTAAACCTGAATTAAGTGCTTATTTTAAAAATAAGGGCTTATTTTTTAAGCCCAAATTTCCAGCTTTTTTTAAGTGCTTATACAATAAGCACTTATTCAATTTTTTTCTTCCAAAATTATCCCTAGTTGAATTTTAAATTACCACTTATAAAATTATCCCTAGTTGAATTTTATAAGAGTGCTTTCATTAAAGTACTTTTATAAAAGTACTTCCGTAAAAGTACTTTTTTAAAAGTGCTTTCGTAAAAAGTTCTTTCATAAAAGTACTTTTGTAAAAGTACTTTTATAAAAGTGCTTTCATGTAAAAGTACTTTTTTTAAAAGTGTTTTTATACACGTTATTTCATAATGGTATGTTTTGAAAATTTGAAAGAAAGTGAAGGACAAAATAGTCATAAATGCTTATTTAAGTGCTTGTTGGAGAAAAGACTACCAAACACCCAATATGAAATAAGTGCTTATTTTTTTAAATAAGCACTTGAAAAAGTTGGGTGCCAAATGCAAATAAGTGCTTATTCGAATAAGCACTTGTTTTCAAGCACTCAAATAAGCACTTATTTTTAACATAAGCACTCCCAAACATGGCCTAAGTCAAGGTGTTTGGGCAAGGCACCCAGCCAAGGGCATCTGGCACCTAGGCGATGCCTTGACAACTGTGCTTATACCTTGGCTGCATAATTCAAGATAGAGATGATTTTAAAGAACCTCAAAGGGAAAGAGTCGGGATAAGAGATTTACTTGTTTTTTATGGACACTTAGTTTTAATGATAAAAATGGATGTTCTCCTTGATGCCTATTTAAGATTTTTAACCTCCTATCGATTTGTTTATGTAGACAGTCCGGTTGTTGTTTTTTTAGGTCCTGCCTGCATTACCTTATCTCTAAGAGTTTTATGGATAAAAGGTTTTCTTATTAATTTTTTTTAATTTTTTTTTTGTTTTATAGATTTTGCAGATTTGAAATGACCAATGAAGCCAAAACTTTAAACCATGCTTGAAGTTACATGACTCTTTAAAGGAATAAGTTTTGAGCAAGTAATGTACCCCTTAAGATACAGAATTCACATAAATCGACTGAGATTTAAAAGCAAAGGCTGCACTTGATCAAATGTATGGTTGTTATTCCTGTATCATTTTCTTTAATATATTTGTATTTTGAACTTATGCCACAGTCTAGAAGGGCAGAT